GTACAGAAAAGGTCATGTTCAGATTTCCTCACTGTCTACAAAGAAGCCAGCAGCAATAAAGTCTTCTTTCAACTTTACTTTAAATTTTGTCGGCAGATGGAGGAGAGGGAGGAAATAAGCTTGCTCTGAAAGTTTTGTGAAGAACATTCAATGGTATCCAGATTAACTGTTGAGTCATTTAAATATAAGTTTATATTAAATGGACGAATGAATTTTTTTAAAAAAGGTAAACAGAGCATGCTGCTATAAACTTGTAGTTATTTTAAACCATATGTATTTATCTCTAACAGTTATTACTATGATGGTTTACCATTTTTAAAAAATATATATATATTATTTATAAATACCTGTGAGTTTCATACATTGTCCTGAAATATTTTGGTGTAAATTTATCATAAAGAGATATGGGATGCTTATTTACATAAGCTGAGACCATTGGTCAGAGTTACATTACCTGGATACCGTGAATATGTATGCACCTGCCATGGCATCTGGGAGGGGTAAAGAGGTGCTGATACCAAGGGGAACCCATTCTTTGGTTTTAACTTCCACATTCTTTACTTGTTGGTCTGTGTTGCTTCCAGCCTGTGCCTCTCCATTAACCCTCCTTGAGTGGTGACACCTCCTGTCTCCTATTCTCTGAAACAGCAGTTCTCAACCTGTGTAAACTAGTACAACCACTGTGGAAATTTCTCAAAGAAACTAAAACTGGAATTCGATTCTATCTAGCTCTTCTCCACCTCGATACCTTTACGAAAGAGTTAATGGTATCATATTACGGTGATATGTGCATACCCATGTTCATGGTACCACAATTCATAATAGGTGAATCTTGGAGACAGCCTGTATGTCCGTCAACAGATAAAAGGATGCAGAAAGTGTGCTGTTTATGCACCATGGAGTATTTTTCTGCCATAAAGAAAGATAAACCGGAGTCATTTATAGGGAAATGGATATACCTTGAAATCATAACGTTAAATAAAATGAATCAGACACAAAAGCTTAAATACATATGAACTAAGGGGCAAAATAAAAGTCAGATAATACGAAAAGGGAAATAAACCTTTGCAAAAAGAAAAGGGACTAAGAGATAGCGGGAGGGTGGAGGAAGGGAAGGGGAAATAAAAAGAATGAAGATGTGTTATGTACTGTAACAACTCCCTGTGTTGAATATAATCATTATGTTCTGCAAACATGCGCTAACAGAAATACAAATTAGAAAAAAATAAAAACGTGTGACCCTTGTTAGAAATACAAATTATAGACCATTATTCTAATCCCAGTGAATCATGGACTCTACAGTGAGGCTCAGAAATCTGTTGTAACCCCCCTCACTCTTGATGGTTCTAATCCATATTAAACATTCAGAATCTTGTCCTATCACCTGAACCCAGTAAATACAAAAACGTAAGCAGGGAGATGTTATTTTCAGCCTGGATAATATTTTTCCATTGTGTTGTTCATGGCTTGTATTTGTGGACACATTATATAAAGTTTTTATGTGAGCTGTATAGTCACGACAAGGAAGACTGCATGGAAGCCAAAGAATAAAGTACATGGTATTAAATGTACTCTGAACTTTTCAAATCTTTATTTGGATCGGTGAGGTTGGGGCACAGATGGGATCTAAGGGAAGCTGTTAACATAGTGTACTTGCCATTGAATTTTGAATTGAGACATCCATCCAAAAAATTGCCAATGCTACTATTTCCATCTCTTACTGCTTGAATAATTAAACTAGACTTTACCAATTATCTGCAATACATTCAAAGCATTCTCTAACGTCTAGGTTTTATCCACAGTTTAATCCCAAACTATGTATAAAGAAGCCCCCTTAGAGGGCTGGTTAAAACCTAGATTGCTGGATTCTATCCCAACTTCCTGACTCAATAGTTGTGGGATAAAGGTGAGTATTTATGTTTCTGCAAAATTCCAGAGATGCTGTGATTGATGTTTCGGGAACTCACTTGGAGAATGACTGTTCTAATGTAGTCTTTCTCAGTGGCAGATAGATGGTCAAATCAGCTGGACTTCCTAGTGACCTGTAGAGTCTCAGGACCTCTACTGATGCTTGAATCCAGATCTCCAGGTTGTGCTTGCCCAGGATTTGTATTTTATTAAGCTCCCCAGGCAGTCCAGATGCATACTCACATCTAATAACCAATGAGAAAAGAGGATACCCCAGGGATACTGTTAGTCTGAGCAAACACAAGCCAAATCTCTCCTTCAATATTATCAGTTTTATACTGGTAACTTGGCATATATTAGTTGAATGAATTAATGATAATAGATGAATATAAGTAGTTAATTGCTAACTTTCTGTTTGTTTGCTGTACCTTTGCTTCATTGTACTATAGAGAATATCATCTGTGTTTTAGCTACTTAATTCTCCAATCCAGGCTGGGACTTTATCTTGTCTTTTTTATATCTCCAGTGCCAAACCAATTATCTAGTATGTAATATGTATATCATTAGGGTTTATTGGGTTAAACAGCTTTGCGTGTTAAATAGAGTAACTCTTAGGGTATGCCTGAAAAAGAAATGGCAGGCTTAAATGGCAAGGATTCATCTCCCTTGGTATCTTTTAATGTTATAAGAGGAAAGCCAGCAATTTGGTTCAAATGCAATATGAAGACTACAAGTATAACTACAAAAGCCCAAGCCAAAAGCCATACCAAGTCTTTGGTGGTGCTGAAATACAGCATCAAGTCAGGAGTCAGCAACATAAAGGCCATTAAATATGATGAATACCCAGACATTGCATTCAGGAGAGCCGCTCTGCACCAGCGAAGCCAATAAGTGGAGGAAAGGGCTTACTTAAATTTATGAGTCCCATGTGTGCTCAGGATTATGTGGGTGGTGAGACTACTACAGGTTGTAAAGAAGAACCAGAACAGGGCAAACGGCAACTTGGGTGCTTCAGTCATCCCAGGTTAACCTTGGCAGGGAGAAGCATTTCATAGTGTCACTCCAGTTGGATGTTTAGTATCCTTTCTTAGGAGAAAGGTCAGAACTCTCATACGGCCGCTTTACATGCCAATAAGTCTAGAATAGAAATGGACCACGGTGTGGAGAGCAGCCCCTGGTACCAGGGTTGAAATCAAGGATTGTACTAATGTTCCTTTTTCTGCTGTTGTCCAAACCCATTGTTGGAATTCTAACCCTTTTGTGTCCTTGAATAATTTTCAACGTTCTGATTTTTAACAGTATTGACTGACTTCTGTGTTTTACAGTCTGCCTTCCAGATTTCAGGTCCCTTATCTTGGCATGCAAATTACCTAAACTTTCAGCTTCCTGTCTGAACCATGTAGGTCCCTTTATCATCTAATTTATTCTTTGAGACCTGAAAGCATTTGTAGTGAATGTGGCAGCCATATCTGATCCAACTGTAGACCAGTAACACTTGTGCGTATCTACTCTCAGACCTGTCTTGCTACCTGTTTGGGGGTTTCAGGGTTCTCTTGCTGGGATTTGTAGATTTTGTCAGTTGTGTCCAAATGGTCCCCGTGGGATTCTCTTCATTTATATTATGGATATTGTCACAGTCCATTTCCAAGGTCATCCAAGCAGAAATTAGATGATACTTTTCTTTTAATTTTTAACTTAGTAATAAAATGACTAAACTTTCAAAGGAAAATGGCTTTATGATCAAGCCAGAGGTTCAGATCTGAAAGAGGTTAAAAATCTTTCAAATTATGTGAGAATTAGATTTTCACAAAAGTTAGTATAAGTTAAAAATCATATGAAATTCTTTGGATTCTGGGTTCAAAACATCATAGGTAGATTTTCACTAATTAAAACTTTAGTAGGGACATTCCAAAGTTGGAGGTATGTGGGAACATATCCATTGTGTGGGATGTCCCATTCATTGTGGGACATTGTGCCTTGGTAGACAAGCCAAATAAATGCAGATCATACTTTTCAGCATTGTCATGTTCCCAAGCATGCTACAAACCTTCCAAATTTCCCCAGTGTGCTAATGCCACTTCTGTTGGGAACTACCAGCTTAGACTATTCATTTCTTCAAGGCTAATATTGTAGAGGAAGGCGCAGAAAATGTGGGCTTGTTTAAAATCCAAACCAATTGGCAAGAACTGGTAACTATTAGGGAGTCACAAGAAAGTGTGAGGTACAAGGAAGGGCTAGTTGGTAATCTTTGAGGGTTTGTCTGGTTATAGAATCCCTAATATTTGTGTCATAATATATAATAGAAGAGTATTTATGGATAAATAATAATCATACCGAATGGCTCTTTACTTTAAGCATGTGTAATGGTTCAAAAGTCCAGGAATGAGTTTCTCAGCTACTGTGCTTGACAGATGAACTTCTCTTACAGATAAACAGAAAATGTAACCATCCAAATATTTAAAATATAAGATTTCAAAATAAAGTAGTATTTTAGAATAATGTGAATTTGAAGTACAGTATTTCAAGACTTGATGAGGTATAATTTTGGTATTAATGAAGACAAATGAAACCAACACTATTTAATTCAAATCTGCTGAACTAGAATAATTCAAATTCCACGTTAGTTTGTGCATTAGTTTTTTTGAAGAAAGGGTGGTAGATAGAATTTTTTATCCTTCCTTGTTTATCGATCATAATGGATAGTAAGTGATCATCTCTATCTTAGTTACTTGAATCCTCCAGTATTTAGTATGGTTCTTGAGACCAGTACATGTTCAGTGTATGTTTGACTCATAAATGAATGGTTTCAAAGAAAGCCTTCAGAAAAGATTAAGTGATAGATTAAGTGAATCAGATCTAAATAATTTATTAAATTTTAAATAGTTTTAATATTTTAAAAACTTTGTATTTTTAAGCTCTTTTATTCTAGGTGATCTTGCACGAGCCAGCACACATTACTTACTTCCTCTGAGAGCTCCCTGAACTATATTCTAGATGGCTACAAATTAGAGCATTAAAAGAGCAGACGTCTCTGCCTCTATTTGCATTCTACCAGCTCACTTTTCTCATGGTTTTGTTGTTCTTTTGGCCAGGGATTCGACAAACAAGTGGATGTGTCATATATTGCCAAACATTACAACATGAGCAAAAGCAAAGTGGACAACCAGTTCTACAGTGTGGAAGTGGGAGACTCGACCTTCACGGTTCTCAAGCGCTACCAGAATCTAAAGCCTATTGGTTCTGGGGCTCAGGGGATCGTGTGGTAAGTGACACTGATTCAGTTTTGCTTGTAAAGGGAACACGCTGTGTACATACACCAGACCCAAACACCGACGAAACGTGAATAAACAGGTAAATAAACAAATTGGCAGGAAAAGAACATTCTACTCGGGAGAAAATAGAGTTATGAGCACTTTTTTTAAGAGTAGGAAAAATGTATTGAGAAAGAAAGCTTGTGTCTAAGAGAGATGGAAGGGGGACCAGAAAGTGGTTGCCTGAGCATTGTTTCTTATTTATTATGCATTTTCTAACAATATTTACAATGTAGCTTGTGATGTGTTTTTCTGGTCAGCAGCACAAAAGATTCATTACACAAGGACCGTGAAAAAAAAAATCAAGAGAGCCAGAGGTTCCTAAACTGTTGCTAACATATTTAGGAAAATTTTATTTGCATGTTTCATAGCAAGAAATGAAGAGCTATGCATTAAAAATAACACGTCATAAATGTAACAGCAAATAAATCTCCCTACCCACTTAAGAGAGATAAATGATATTTTCATGTTCGGGTGGGTTTTAAACTTCAATGCTTAAATTTAACAATGTAGAAAAGGGTTGCATTTAAAAAACATTTTTCTAATTTTTTCCAAATACGAAGCATCTGGGCTCCTTTGTAAACTATTCTGTTATGAAATTTTTGGGTGGCCAACTGAAATCATAACAAATCTAGATCTGACTCTTGCAAAAGTAATGACATCTGGTTGATTAATAAACATTTCTTTTAGACAGTTTCAATATGTAATGTCAAATATATTTAGTATGAACTTGTCAGCATGATAATTTTCAGTCTTTTGGATGACTCATATCCATGTGGTTTTTCTATAAAATGGAATACTTCTCAGCCATAAAGAATGAGAAATTGGAGTCATCCATAGGAAAATGGATGCATATTGAGGCTATACTCTTAAGTGAAATAAATAAGTCACACATGTGTAAATACCGAATAGTTTCTCTGGTGTGAAAAACTATAATTGTAAATAAGATCCTAATGGTATAATTGACAGTATGTAATAGGACGAAAAAGGCTAAAGGTGTAGGGGAAGTGGGAAGGGTAGGGAAATGGTAATAAGGGAAAAGAAAAAAATAGGAGAAAATGAAAAAATGGAAATAATGCATTTGTAAATAGGGAAGGGAGTAAGGGGTGAAGGGAGGGCAGGACCAAGGGGAAAAAATGAGAACCAAGACCTGTCATGTAAAGGTAGAAGAACCCAATGGTGAATGTAATTGTACTGTATACCTAAAATGTACCAGTAAACTCAATGTGGAAAAACAAATAAGTAAAATTTTAGGCCATGCACCTTAAATATTTATATTTTGATGTTTACTTTTATAAAGGATATTTATGTAATTATTTATTTGTTATATAAATTGTTGCTATATTAATTATTATTTGTATTTAAAAACAAAAACTTTTGAAAAAGAAATTAACACTTTAAAATACTTTTTATTTTCTATTTCATTTTTACTTGTTCCAAATATTGGCCAAGTTATTTTAGGGATAGCGATGGACTGTTCTCATTATTTTTCAAGGCATCAGTCTATACTTACTGAAACTACGTAAGAAATGAATTCACTTCATTTTGACCGGTGGTTTAGGTTCAGTGTCATAGCTTCTCCAGGAGACTGGAGAATGGCCCTCTCATGCACTTACTGAATCAAAACACTAGGATTTAAGCTGCATTCACTAAGTATACTCAGGCTTTTTTGGGAATTTATCTAGTAAATTTATATCTCTCTAATGTCTAGCAGTGGTTATTTTTGCAATTTGAGAAATAGACCATTTTCATAATGAACCAAACTTTGCATTTGGAAGAAGTTGAAATAGGTAAACAAGCAATTTTTGTTTCAGTGCTTATTTATTTTTATGGTTCTAGTGGTACAAAATATTTTTCATGGTGTGGAAGGCAGAATAATGGTTTCCTCAAAGATGCTTAGGTCCTAATCCCCAGAATCCTTAAATATGTTACACGGTGAGCTGAAAGGATTTTGCAGAAGTGACTGAGGATCTTACAATATGGAGGTTGTCCTGGAATATCCAGGTGGCAGCAGTACAATCTTATGACTTCTTAGAAGTGGGAAAGGAGGGGAGAGAGACTGGGCCGGGGAGACACAACAGGAGCTGACGGAGATGACATTTGAAACATGAGAGAGACTCACTTTGTCACTAGCTTTAAAGATGGAGGGAGTGGGGCCGTGAACCAAGGGGTGTGGCCAACTTATAGAAGCTGAGGTTGGCTGTCAGCGGAGGGCAAGACAGTGGAGAACTGAGTCCTACAATGGCAAGGAACTGAAATCTGCCCACAACGAGAATGAAAGGTAACATTCATCCCTGCCACCTTCAGATAGGAACAAAACTAAGGTCCTTAATTTTGCCAACATCTTGTGTTAGCCTAGTGAAACCCATGTTATGACCTGCAGGGCTATAGGACATAAACTCGTGTTGTTCAGGCAGTTAAGTGTGTGGTAAAGTATTAGTGATACTAAGATACATAATATAGTAAAGTTTCTAACAAAATGATTGCTGTAAATCTCCTGTATTTACCAGAAAAGGGAAAAACAAAGGGTTTCTGATTTTTTATATTAATTTGAAGTATTTTAGAATATTAACATGAGGATTTTTTTATTGAGTTTATTGGTACATTTTAGGTATACGGTACAGTTACAGTCATTATTGGGATCTTGTATCTTTACATGACAGGTCTTGGTTCTCATTTTATCCCCTTGGCCCTGCCCTCCCTCCCCTCCTCCCCTCCTCCCCTCCCCATTTACAAATACTTAGCATGAGGATGTTTTGAAGAAGACTCAGTTCAGGTGTGTTTCATTTTCCTTTCAGTACAGCTGCCACAGAAAGTGAAGCCTGAGTAGAAGGAAACTGATAGACCTTTAATGACTCAAAAATAGATCCAAAGCAGCATTATTCTTAAGATTGTTAACAGAAACATTTGGACATTTTATGCTGAGAATTTTATAATGTGTTTTGTAGGACATTTTGGGCCTCTATCTCTCCGTTTCGTGGTATGGAAATCATCCTTAATCTTGGGTATAGTAACCGAAGTAGAAGTCACTTAAAATGTCTCTGAATAGTGTTTTAAATCCCATTTTAGAACAAAGTTATCAGCAAATCAGTCAAGAAAATCTGACTTTCCAAATGTTAGCCTTGGAGTTTCCTGAAATTATTCATAGTTTTGTCTTTAGCTGAGGGAAATAAAGTCATATTCAGCTAGCAAAGAGCAAGACGAAGGGGCAGAGTTGGATTTTAATGACCACCCTGCTGAGTGTGTAGACATTGTAGGTAGAACACAGTCTTCCTGACACCACTGTGGTTGTCCCTTCTTTTCTGTTTCCTCAACCTTAGCTTTGAGATATCGCTATTTACTCGTAACTTGGACTTGCAGTGCACTGTTCTGTCTTGCAGCTTTATTCTTGCAGTACTTTACCCCAACAACCACCTTTTATTCCACTTCTGCTCTGTTGCCTTTGTCAACAGTGAGATTATCTGCCTTTTTCACGCCAAACACACATCCGGTCCCAGACACGCCCCTGAGATCCACTCACCTTTCCCATGTTCTCAACGACTGTCAGATTGACACAGTATCTTAATGTAGTGACTAGTGGAAGTTGGAAACTGGAAATGAGTGCAGTCTCTTGAACTAATTCTAAGACTGGGGTCTCAGGCAAACTGCAACAGATCATTTATTTATTTTACTTAAAAATTTTTTTTTTGTGCTAGGAATAAAATATGGAGGCCCCAATTCCAAAAGAGGCTTTATCAAAAATTTCAATTTGCACATGTCATCATGAATTGGTGCATGTGTTTGCAAGAGCAACTCTGCTTTTCACATAAAAATGTTGACATGCTGGTACTTCCTTCAGAGTCACAAGACTCCCTAACCTGTTTGAAATGGAGTCATATTACCTTGTACCAGTGACTGGGTTTTTGCAATTTTTGTTCCCTCTTCAATTGTTTATTTAACACGGAGAGGAAGAGGCAACACTAAAAGATCTTCAAAAGAAATTGACTATCACTATTTTTTGTTTGTTTACTATGAAATGATAGGGCCAAAATGTCATTATTGAAAATCGTTAAGCAAAGCTCATATGAAATCTTTTGGAATAAATGAAAAATTTTATTCTACATCTAAGGTAAAACAAAAAAGAGTGCCCGTTGAAGCAGAAACAGTGAAAATTATTCTGCTTGGCTGTGTCAGCTAAGGAGTCCTCTATAGCTTCAGAGGTCATTGTAATCTGTAAAATGAGGTTTTAACAGCGGTGCTCAGGAGCCAGTTGAACAAATCATTTTAGAACACTTTTCCACTTATCCACAAGAGGGTCCCTCATCGTGTTGCTTTTTTACTGTCAGCCTCAGAACAAAAACAAGCACAGGGATAAATGGACACACAGAAATGTCATTGTCTTCTCTCACTCCCGTTCTGCTGCTGCTTGCCAAGGAGCATCTTCTATTTTCTCACTTCTTTCTTCAAAGACGATCCAAGCTGACAGCTGCCGTGACGGCAAATCCGAACAACCAACTTTAGCTGTTTGGCCAAGGTTGGTGTGCCCTGTGACCACTGAGGGCTGATTTTACAGATTTAGATGGAGGAAAGTAGAAGCGTTCCTTCCTTCTCAGGGGTGTTACACATGGTCGGCTTGAAAGTGGCCCCAGTCAATGTAAGCCGGATCTTTATAACAAAGATGTAAGCTTAATACAGCTAAAAGTATAGAGTTACAGTGTTTCTCATAAAAAATCTGTGCCTTGAAAATGAAATATTTAGAAGTCAGATAGTATGGGTTATGTTGACTAAATTTTTCAGAAATCTCAATTACAATTATAGGATAACTTTTTTTGTGGGGGTGCTGGGGATCAAACTCAGGACCTTGTGCTTGCGAGGCAGGTGGCAGAACCACTGAGCTAAATCCCCAACCCATAGGATGACATTTAATCAACTGAAACAACTATCGTTGCAAAATGCTTTGGAAATAATCCAG